AAATACGATATTCAAGATGACCTATTTACGAACTTTGAACAAAACACTATGGTTACTCCTAATGTGGGAGGTGGAGGAAGTGAGGGCCAAAACATACAAGGCATAGAATGGGGTTCAGAAGCCGTTGAGTATATGACTACTTTGCGTGATCAGATTGCTACTCAGTTACTTTCAAATGGTTCATGTTAAATGATATAGTTTTTTATTATGTATGACAATGTGTATTTGGGTTTTGTATTACACTTTGTATTTGGATTTTAAATTATGTATGTTTAATTTGGATTTTATGTGATAATTTTTATTTTTGTAATTATTTTATCCAACACAAAAGGACAACATAAGGATAATATGGTCATTTTTATCATTCAGCACAATCAGTCAGATAAATAATCAAACAACATAAATTCAGTCAGATGTGGACTCAGTCAGCATTTCTAACCCAATCAGCTTCTAACTCAGTCACCTCTAACCCAATCAGCAACTATCAAACGACCCCTTACTCTCGTCTCTTAATCTTTCATGAAGGTATGACCCATGCCTTAATTTCATTTCTCTGTCTCTTCATCGTTGCCTTCGTTGTCTTTTCATCACTATTTTCTTGGAATCTTATGGCCTTCACGAAGTTATAATCTATGACCCTAAGCTAGAAGTCGGTGATGTTATGCTACATAAATGGTAAAAGGCTCACATTTTAGGGAATCCGGTATTAATGGCGGAATCCAGCTACCTCGTGACTACAAGGTAACTACAATCGCGACAGTGATGTTTCTCTATCCTTCATCTCCAGCAAAGTCATCGTTGTTTTCCCTTCTTCCCTTCCAACAATGGGTGGTTCGTCCACTAACTCTCCTGTCTCCATCTTCGGATCACATGAAACCCCACACAACCGGTTCTCAAGATTCTAGAACAAAGGCAAGTTTTCTGATTTCTCAAAGCCACTATAGGATTCGATTTCCCAAACCAGTGGATGAGAAATGGTATTTAATGATGGAGTTTAATAGAGTTTAATGTTGTTTCAAAAGCAAAGTTGTGTTTCAATTTTCTACATGTGTTTCATTTATTAATTACATATTTAGGTTTTATTTGTGTTTTAAAGCCAAGTTGAAATAGGCCATATCCTTTTAAGAAATTTGATGGTGTTTAATAGTGTTTTAAAGAATATTGGGCTTTACCTACTAATAGCCATATATCTCCCAATCAGAAGTCATAAATAATTTTGTATAATTGAGTTTTATGAAGCCTGCGATTTTTTTTAACTGGTGGAGGGCGGTGGTGGTAGTGGTAATTGTAGACAACGACCAAAAATGGAGAGGCAAGGGGTTAGGGTTAGGTGGGGTATGTTCAGGTATGGTTAAAGTGGGGAGGGGTATTTAATTTCTATTTTTAAATAAAAGTAATTAAAAGAAAGTAAATCAAATTAAAAAATGTATAAAGATCTTTTTATATAGGTGAGCGACCTACCAATGTTAGAAATTGAAACCACAATGACCTTCTGTAAGACGAAAAAAAGTTATTGACTAAAGTCAGACTATGGAAAGCCACAAGTAGGGATGAGATTTAAAACTGGAAAACTCGAATGAAACCTGAACCGGGATCGTTAGAACCGGAATATGTCGAACCGGTCCGGGTTCCAAATTTAAAGAATCGCTTTATCCGGGTTCCGGGTAATCCGAGTTTCGGGTCCTTCGGGTCTGGGTAAACCGGGTTTAAGAACCGAAACTAATGTTAGGAACCGAAACCGGTTTTAGGGACCGAAACCGATTTCTGTGAAAAGTTTCAAATATGCATATCTTATTTGTTTGAAGTCGGATTTGCATTAAGTTTTTTCCAGAGTGTAGTTTATAATTTGTAGATGATTTTAGACTATAACTTTGTCATTTTTGGGGTTCATATTCATTGACTTACAATCCTCTAAAGTCGGAATATCGAAGCTGAAAATTTTTTGTTTTTCAACTTTTTTTGTATTCTGTGAAAGTTTTAAAATATGTATATCTAATTCGTTTGAAGTTGGATTATCATAAGGTTTTTTCCAACGTATAGTTTAGAGTTTGTACATAATTTTATACTATAATTTTGTCATTTTTGGTTTAATATTCAATGACTTACAGCTCCCAAAATCAAGAATATCAAAGTTGAAAGTTTTTGAAGTTCAACCTACTAAATAATTACCAAAAAATTCTGGTTTTCTCGGGTTTTCTAGTTCTAGACCTATTTTACCCAGTTTCACCCGACCCACTTTGATGTTTCCGGGTTTTCCGATTCTAGACCTACTTTACTCGGTATCTTACCAGGAACCGATCCGAAACTTGTTCCTATATACCGGTCCGATTTCTGGTCCCACAAAATACCGTTAAGCGGTTCCCATGTTTTCCGGGTCTATCTGGATCGGATTTGGACTCACTTACATCCCTAGCCACGATGACCATTTGTGAAGTTTTGTTTTACTAAAATCATTCATGTGGTTTAGCTAAAATTGCATGTTTTGTCCCTAACTTTTTTTTTGCACTTGATTAGTCCTTATAGTTTTTTTGTTGCGTTTTTCTCCAACCTGAAATGACTCTTTTGTCGTTTCAGAACGGTCACGCGGCCGATCTTTTTCACTCCACTCTTTTTCTCTTTTCAGGCTGGTTCATTTCGCTCCAATCCTTTTTCGGTCCGGTCTCATTTTAAACCGGTCTCGGTCTTTTTTTAGGACCGGTCCAAGACCAGTTTTTTTGCTCATTTTTAGGTGATGTGGCCAAAATAGATTGGGGTAAAAATTAAATATAGAAAAGCCCAATCTTTTGGGACAATTATCGAAGAAGTCACTAGATCAATTTATTTTGCAAAAAAAAATTAACTAAATTTACCGTTTGCAAAGTATAATACATATCAAATGTGTACGGATGATTGTTGTATTTTGTTGTCTTTTAACCGATATATTTTCCAAATGGTTTAGCACTTCGCTCATATAATGTTTTTGATAAAATGATCCAAGAAAATCGAATTTCTTTACCAAATGAGTTAACTCAAGACACTTTGAAAGTACAATAAGTCAATGATTGTACAGGAAAAAAAAACAATGACGTAGATGAGACAAACCAAAAAGTACACTGTTATTTTATGATATCATCTATAACTTCAACTTCATCACTAAATTGTAATTTTCCATTACCATTTTACACTATCTTTTCAACACCTATTCAGTCACTGATTACACCACCAATTTGTAGTTGTATACACCAATTTACCATCATAGCCATCTCGTTTTAGAGATTGCTTTGTGTTAATGTGACATTAAACAAGAATCCTAAAATAAGTTAGACCACGAACCATGATGATGAGGCAATTTTCTTCTTTTTCTATATGCCAAGTAATAATGCTTTCTTTAAAAAAATAATACAATATGACAAAACTAATCCTGATAATGAATACATATAATAAATAAGACATTGATGATATAGACGCATACCAGTCCAATAATCAAACAGCAAGACCTTGCTCTTTAGCTTTCTTCAGCCACTTAAGTGTACTCTCTAATGTCGTATAAGCAGCAACTTCTGTTAAACTATTGCTCTCTATAGCATAATCAAACACTTCATAAGCTTCTGCAACTCTCCCATTCCTACAAAGTGTCCTCAAGAATGTCCCATAAGACCCTGATTCAAGCTTCATATCACCCTCTTTCATTACCCCATACAATTCAACCCCTTTATCCAAATGCCTAGCCTTACACAACCCATGAAGCAAAGTGTTATATGTGCATTCATTCGGATTACATCCTTTATTTTCCATTTCCCCCAATAATTCTAATGCACCAAGTGCATTTCCATCTCTACATAACCCATTCATTAAAGAAGTGTATGTAACCACATCAGGAAAATGTCCCATTTTTGCCATCTCGTTTAGAAACTTTATAGCTTCTTTAACCTTACCTGATTTTGATAACCCATAAATCAAAGTGTTATAAGTGACTAAATCAGGCTGTATTTCTTCCTCTATCATCTTCTTGTAAACCCTCAAGACATCACCTCCATGACTCAACATACAATACCCCTTCATAATCGTGTTATAAAGGTAACAATCGGGCTTAAAGCCTTCTTCTTTTAGCACATCTAATAACCTCATTGCCTCACGTAAATTCTTCCCGTTACAAACATTATCAATCAAGATAGTGTAGGTCACTAAATCAGGTTTTACATCAAACCCTTCTTTCATTTCGTTTATGAATACACTCACACTACTCAAAGTTCGAGTCTTTATCAATCCTTTTACCAAAAAATTGTAAGTATAAGTATCGGGTTTTGTGAACTGAACCTGGGAGAGCTTCTTCATCAGCTCAATCGCGTGTTCTTCGTGCCCAGTGCTGCAAAGAGTTCGGATCGCAACGTCTGTGGTGACCTTATCGGGTTCGAACCCTTTTGAGGCCATGAGATTTAGGGTTTTATTAACATTCGCAAGATCCGAATCGGGTTTTTTGCATGATTGGCATAAGAGGATGTGGTAAGAGAACTTGTCAGGGGTGAACGAAGGGTGGATTTTCGTCATGTGATTCAGTAAAATGATTGAATCTTGAATGTTCGAGGAGACAGATGAGAAAGATTGGAGGACCGCGTTGCAAAATCGGTTGTTTAGTAGAGATGAATATCTGGTGGTGGTAGCGAGCGAGTTAAACAGGGTTTTGGCGGCGGAGATGTCAGGGGATGTAAAGTTTATGGGCGGTGGTGATGAGGGGTGGCTTGTGGCAGTGGTGAGGGATGTGTTTGGTTTTCTGGTGATTGATTTGGGTTTTCTATGACTGTGATGAGAGGAAGGTTGTGATTCAAGTTCTGATTCTTGAGGGGATTGTTGGACGTTTTTGAATAAAGATCGAATCGGTAACCCTAGGTTCTTGCCAGTTTTTAGTGATGGCGGTAGCTTCCCCATTTTCTTGATTCAATTTCAGATGGGTAGCAATAGAATCAGTGTGGCTGGGTGTGTTCTTGAATCTTGAGGGTTGCAGGTTGGGGTTTTGAAGGGGTTTTGTTGCCGTCTCTATGTTTGGGGAGATTAAGGTAAATAACAGATTGCTTCAGGGCCGTAATGGACAATGTGATATGATGAAGGGGCAACCTGAAACTAGTATTGATTATTGACACTTATCACATGAATAGTTTAGTGAAGCAACAAAATATTTGAAAGAAAAACTAGTAAATATTTTTATATAGGGAATTTGACTTATTAAGGTAATTAAGTATTTCAAATGTTTACATATGGGTAATATTGTTTTTTTTGTACTCATTTACCCAATTAACTTTTTTCATCCGTTCAAAAATAACCAACATTACCGGCTATTACCTATTTTAGCCGGTAACATTGATTTAGCTGGGTTGAAAACATTACGTGGAATCTTACGTGGCCATTACACCCCTTTCTCATTTAATTAGGGTTCGTCATCGTCAGCTAACACACCTCGATTACCTTCTTCTGAGAAATCAATCGATACATCAAATCGACGATTAGGGCTTGAAATTGAAGTTGGAATTGAAGTCGACTGCT